CGTTGGCGGCACATTATAAATTAATAATCGTTCTACTGCAAGCTATACAGTTCCATCTAGTTAATCTTTCATTTTAATAATCACGGATTCTCTGCTATTTTGATGCGCGATTATCGCCAGTTCAGCAAGCAATCGGAAAGTTTGTAAAACTCGCATGGGTCACGGCGTAACGGTTGTTACAGTATTATTACATTGCATGATACATTATTTTTATATCAGTCTAGATATTTCATCAAGAAGTGTGAAACTTAGCCTGTTGGATTACTTATACCTCTTATCGTGAGTAAATTAACATGAACGCGTTTAAGGAAGAATTTTTTTATATACATATATATGTAGATACTTATAATATATGTGTATATATTGTTACGCTCGTACGTTTCGCATAGAGGACACATTAATCGCACTGAAATAAATGCGCATAACAGTACAACGGGAATGAAAACTTTATTGAGAAATGACAGAAGTGTTAAAAACTCTGAACTGTAGGATGTATTATGGAATTATTCAGAATGAATTTCGATCGGATTTAATTATTCCCTTTTTTAAACACCATAGAAATCTAGAGAAAACGGAATAATTCCGATCAAAATTCGTTCTGATTTATTCTACACAGTCTGTCTCAAAGTAAACAGGACTTTTTCAAAATAAGAACAACAAATGGTATTTTCGGCAAAATTGTTTTATTTTATTCAAAATAGTCTCCTTCCGCTTCGATACACTGATTTGCACGACTTAACAACTTTTCGAATGACGATTTTAGGTCGTTGGCCGGTATGGCTCGGAGGATGTCGGTACACGCCTCTTGAATGGCCGGAATGTCAGCATAGCGCATGCCTTTCATCGGCAAATGAAGTTTTCCGGATAGATAAAAGTCACAGGGTGCCAGATCAGGCGAGGGGAATGGTTGACCAATAAAATGCGATTTTTGCTCAAAAAATCGGTGATGAGCGTCGATCGATGAGATGGCGCATTATCGTGCAACAAACGCCAACTCCCTTCCTCACGATATTCTGACCGAATGCGACGAATACGATGCAACAACCGCCTCAAGACATCAAGATAATATGGCGCATTAACCTTTTGGCCCGGTGGAACGAACTCATGATGAACAATACCCT